AAGGAGTACAAAGAAAACAAAGGCAAAKTATTTCACGGATAACTTGAATTTTCCTATCGAAGATAACGAATTCGTTTCTTTTAGTATTTTTARCAAAATCAGATTCTTCAAAGCTTAATAAACACCAAACTTTGACCTAGAAAAGAGTAACTCCCAAAAATCTTTCTGATTTAATCCTGGATTATCGATAATCTTGTAAGCCTCGTGCATAGTTGACTCCTATACTAATGCAAATACCGCTGTACAAAAATTATGTACTCATAACCACATGCAGCTAGAGGGAAAAGAGTGAAAAGTTTGTAAGTCTATTTGTTTGTTATTTCTTTAGCTATAACTTTAGCTTTCTTGCTTATTTTGCTTATTATCATTTCTTAGCGAATCGTTTATGAACAAGTTGATAATTAAACCTACGAAACGAATGCGAACCGTGATCATAACTGACCCGTCTACTGCACATCATTCGAAACTTCATTCAAGCCATGTTTTTTGCCTCTGAGGACGTCTTCCAAGGACATTTCGTGGATTCGTTGGAAACCCTTTGCATTGGAATTGGTGTTTTCATTCATTGTTTCTTCGAAAGATATGTTTGAGCCGAATAAATACACTCCAGAATCTCAAGATGGCGGACGTGAAGTCTTGCACGTTTCTTACCACAGGGAGCCCGGTCACAGTTATAGTCAGCAGACCACCGATGGACACAGGCAGCCCAGTCAGCGATTTCTAGAAGTTGAGGAAGCAGAATCTACGTACTTACCCGATGCGAATGTTGGAAAAAGAGTTGAATGGCCACCATTATCGGACAGAGACGAAGAGATTTACTTCAAAGAACAACAGGTTAGCAGACCAACTAGAGAAAAGCTATTTAACAGAAGATTATGTGAAGAAGAAGTGAGAGCTGAGAAGGCAGCTACAAACCGACACAGGAGATCAGGATACCTGGGAGAGTTAAGAAAGCGTTCAAGCAGACTACGCGAATTAATTTGCGATCCAGACACAAGCGAAACAGACATACAACACGAGTATACAGCATATAATCGAGCGTTCCACAACTTCATGGATGCACACGAAAATTGCATGAAGGACGCATGTAGTGAAGAACAAAGATTATTGTTGATAGACAGTTACGAGAATCAAAGAGATATAAAGTTGCAACTAGACAATCTGTTTAGTCAAACAGTCAAGAGCAAGAAGTCAAGTAAGCCATGTTCCGAGGCAGGCTTTAGTCGAAGGAGTAGCCACAGCAGCCGAAGCAGTGTGAGAGAGAAGAAGAGGTTGGAAGAAGCGAAGTTGAACATTGAGACGCTCAAAAAGAAGCAGGACATACAGAAACGATTGGACGAAATAGAGAAGAACAAAGCTGAGCTTAGCAGAGAGATTGAGTTGTTAGAAGCGGAAACTTCGTACAAGCAAGCAGCAATAGACCTAGCAATGGAACAGTATGAGGAGAACGAAACGATGCGGAAAGAATCGACAAACGAAGATGTGATACCCTCATGTAGAGATGGAACTGATGTATTCAATAGTAACATACCCTGTTATACGATTCCAAGCCCGACGTATACAGTAACAACTTCTCAACCATGCCAAGTTAGTATTAGTTCTGGAACACTTAGTAATGAACACTTGAAGAAAACGCAGTTTGATACTGTACTACCTAACTTGTCAGACGGAGGATTTCGCACTAATGACGCATTCCTGAAACCAAGTTCATCGCAGCAGCCTGCGACACCACATAACACAGCTACCAATAATTCAGTTGCAGTACATCCTAAAGTGACACCTGCAGTAAGCAACTTTCCTTGTCTTACGACGAATTATTTGCAGTCTACGCCTATCGTTTCTACAATGCCTTCTGATTCTACAAGACATTTTCTCGACCCAGCGACGAGTGCCTTTCAACCAATCAACAGTCGTCCTTTACAACCGACATTTGCGTCGAGAGTCTCTGCTACACCTTACACGTACGGTGATGGAGCAGTACCTAAAGTCCCAGCACAGAGAGAGTTCCAACCAATCAACAGTTATCCTTTACAACCCACATTTGCATCGAGAGTCTCTACTACACCTTACACGTACGGTGATGGAGTACCTAAAGCCCCAGCACAGAGAGAGTTTTGTCCAGTTAGCAGTTATCCACTGCAGTCTACATGTATGCCATACAATCAACCAAGTCTTCAAGAGAATAGTCAGTTAGACGCCTGGACAACGATTGCTCAAGCTATTAAACAAGGACCAACGCTGCCGAAAATCGAGTTGATGAAGTTCAGCGGAGACCCACTGGAATACGTCGAATTCGTTACGAACTTTAAAGACAACATTGAGACCCAAGTCACAGAAGACTCTCAAAGACTTACGCGTCTTCTCGCTCAGTGCACAGGAAAGGCGAAAGAGGCAATACGGAGCTGCGTTAACCTACCCTATGGAACGAGGTACAAAGATGCATGGCAAACCTTGTTAGAAAACTTTGGTCAGCCACATATGATTGCTGAAGCGCATATGAAGAAATTGAAGGAAATACAAATCAGGAAGGGTGATGCGGCAAGCCTCATGGACTTTGCCAGGAAACTTGAAGATGCTCGAAGAGTTCTTTGCAATATGGGACTGAATTACTCGGGTCGTTTGGACAACGAGGACACTATTGTTGCACTGATGAGAAAGTTACCCGAAGAGAGCCTAAAGAGGAAATGGGCCGACAAAGCAGGAGATTTGATCAAGACAAAGGGACGAGCAGAGTACCAGGACTTTGTAGACTTTGTTCGTAAAACAGCGAATCGAATCAACAACAGATATGGGCAAGAACTTAAAACAAGTTTACCAGCTAACCCGAAGAATGAAAGACAACCGCAAGATCAGAGATTTAAGATTACAACTCTAGCAGCGCAAAGCGACATAGTCCAACGTGGTTCAAGTCGAGAAGTACCGTCAACCACCAAGAAGTGTCCGCAATGCTCTGGACCCCACAACATCTGGAGATGTTGGAAGTTCAAAAGCTCCACCATGGACGAACGTCTTAAAGTAGTCAAGCAACACAACCTGTGTAGATCATGTCTAGAAGAAGGACACTTCTCCAAATCTTGCACAAAGGGATTCAGTTGTAGAATGGATGGATGCGGAGAAAGTCATCACGTATTGCTTCATCCATCAGTCAGAGAGTCGAAAGGGAACGAATCCAGTCGAGAGAGCAGGAACACTGCATCAATAACGTCTGAGCAGAAATCGACGAAGAATCGAGATGAAACACGAACCACTTCAAAGGTCAGTAGCAGTGCGACAACGACAAAACCAAAGCGGCATCCAGTTGCGATTGGAACTCCGTCGAGACCAAGAGTATGTTTCAAAGTAGTACCAGTCAAAGTAAGCAGTCAGAACAGTGACAAAACGATCACCACTTACGCCTTCTTTGACAGCGGATCGGATGCATCTCTTTGTCTAAGAAGCTTGCTAAAAGACTTAGATGTCAGGAATCCTGAGCCAGCTAACTACACGTTGTCGACAGTGAATCGAAGAGAGGAAGAGTCGGGATATGCCGTCAACCTGACAATAGAATCCTTATCTGGAGACGCGAAGTTTTCTTTGGAAAATGTTCTGACAACGCAAAGCCTTCCAGTTCAACCGAAACACGTGGCAAGCAGTGAAGAAATAACAAAGTGGCCACACCTTAGTGACCTTACGTTACCAGACACTGAAAACAAGGCTGTGACAATATTGATAGGAAGCGATCGTCCGGATATAATCGACAGTGGAGTTGAAAGGAGAGTGGGGAATAAAGGAGAGCCCTTTGCAGTCAAGACCCCATTCGGATGGACAGTTTACGGACCGATTGAAGAATCAACTAAGAACGATGTTCATGTTAACCTAACAAGCGCAGAGCATAAAGATTTGGACAAAAAGTTAGAGCAAATGTATGACGGAGAATTTGAAGATGTTCACGACGAAACACCAGGAATGTCAACAGAAGACCGAAAGGCAAACAAGATAATGGATTCGTCAGCTATCAAGGTCAATGGACACTATCAAATCAAGCTACCTTTCAGAGAAGACCCACCGAATCTTCCAGATAGTAGACCACTTGCAGAAAAACGACTTGATTACCTGAAGAAGAAGATGGAGAAGGATCCAGCATTTAAAGAGAAATACGTGTCGGTCGTAGAAAAATACAAGACAGAGGGATCGTCAAAGGAAGTTCCTCAAGAAGAAGTAGCTAAGCTGAATCCAATCTGGTACCTTCCACATCATGCAGTTTGGCACCCGAGAAAGCCGGATGAACCAAGGGTAGTCTTCGATTGTGCAGCGAAGAGCAGAGGAGTATCCTTAAACGATCAATTGCTGAGAGGACCAGAGAATACAAGCAGCCTAATTGGAGTGATACTCAGATTCAGAGTGAACGACGTAGCAGTCGCCGAGGACGTCAAGAGAATGTTCCACCAAGTATACGTGGCACCAGAAGACCGCGGAGCACTTTGTTACCTATGGTGGCCTGATGGCGACTTTGCAAAAGAGCCTCGAACATATCAGATGTTAGTACATATTTTTGGTGCTACGTCATCTCCAAGCGTTGCCGGATATGCTCTTAAGAAAACTGCTAAAGACAACCAAGACAAGTTCTCAACCGATGCTGTTGATGCTGTTCTAAGAGATTTCTATGTCGATGATTTACTAAAGTCATTTGCAGATGCTGAACAAGCCATAGAAGTAAGTAAAGAGTTACAAGAACTACTGGAGAGGGGAGGATTTCAATTAACAAAATGGATCTCGAACGATCGTGATGTCTTATCAGCGTTCCCAGAAGATGAGCGTGCACCAACCATTAAGAACCTAGACTTGAAGACTGAGAATCTTCCCGTAGATAGAGCACTTGGAATCCATTGGGACGTAGAAGAAGACACCTTCAACTTAGTAGTCAGCGCGAGAGAGCACCCAGAGAACCGTAAAGGTGTCTTATCATCGATTGCAACGGTCTACGACCCACTCGGATTCGCCAGTCCCTTGATCCTGATTGGAAGAGAAATCAACCAAGAGTTATGCAAATTGAAGTATAACTGGAATGACGCCCTTCCAAAAGACCTTCTAGCACGTTGGAAAGACTGGAAGGACGGACTTGCCAATATCAGAGACTTCAAGCTACCAAGATGTTACAAGCCGAAAGACTTTGGAGAAGTTAAGAGTGCCGAAATTCATCACTTTGCCGATGCGTCTCAAGAGCATGGATACGGTACAGCGTCGTATCTACGTCTTACAAACGACAAAGAAGAAATCCATTGCTCATTTGTTATGGGAAAGTCACGCGTAAAGCCATTGAAGAGTACGATGACAGTTCCAAAGCTGGAGTTAACAGCAGCGACTCTACTGATTCGAATGAACGACTTGATATCGAAGGAACTCCAGGGCAGACTTCAGATTGACGACACCACTTATTGGACAGACTCGATGATAGTACTTGGCTACATTAATAATGACGCGAAGAGATTTCCTACATTTGTTGCCAACCGAGTAGCAGTAATTCGGCAAGGATCAGAACCGAGTCAGTGGAAGCACGTACGTTCCGAGCTTAACCCCGCAGATCACGCATCGAGAGGCATCAGAGCCTGTGAGGCAGAGAAGTTAGAGCACTGGATAAGAGGTCCCGAATTTCTATGGAAGAACAAGGAAGAATGGCCCGCGCAGCCAACCGAAATAAAGGAAACCACAGACGCAGAAGAGGTTACAGCAGTAGGAACCACAATCATGCAGGAAGACTTCTGGAACTCTATGTTTAACCGATACTCAAGTTGGAACAGACTACGAAGAGTCGTCGCATGGCTTATTAGAGCTGTGGAAAATCTACAAGATTTACGAATGAATCATAAAGATGAAAGGGAACATTTGGCAAGAAAACCTACTCTGACAGTTGCAGAAGTAAAGGATGCAGAAGAAAGGATCGTAAAGCAAGTGCAGAGACAGTCGTTCTCGGGCAATGATGACAAAGAAGAAGTAACGCTAAACGCAGAAAGTGCAACGAAGTTAAACCGTTTAAAGCCATTCGTGGAAGGAGGAACCGTTAGAGTTGGAGGACGGTTAAGTAGATCGTATTTAGACTTTGACGCAAAACATCCGTTGATCCTTCCCGGAAGACACCCTGTAACAAACCTAATTGTCCTTCACTACCACGAGCAGAATGGACATGTCGGTACACATCAAGTTCTTGCAGAAATTCGACAACGATTTTGGATCATAGGAGGAACATCATCTGTTAGACATGTTCTCAGCAAGTGCCATGTATGCAGGCGGCAGAATGCAAAGATGGGAGAACAGATCACAGCACCACTACCAACAGTTAGAGTATCGTCAGACGAACATCAGTTGATTTACCCATTTGCAGCAGTAGGATTGGATTATTTCGGACCACTCCACGTAAAGACTGGACCAGAAACGAGAGCTTCAAAGAGGAACCCGACGTTGAGCAAACGGTATGGCTGTATATTCACTTGCCTTAGATACAGAGCTGTACACATAGAAGTAGCCCAAGACTTAACGACAGACAGCTTTATAAACGCCGTGTTACGCTTTGTGAGTCGTCGAGGACCCCCACGAGTTATATACAGCGATAACGGAAGTAACTTCAAGGGTGCAGAGCTAGATGTTATTAAGGCACTGAAAGCGTGGAATCAAGAAGAAATCCAATCCAAGTTGAATCAGCGAGGAATTGAATGGAACTTCAATCCTCCAGCGGCGAGCCATCAAGGAGGAGTCTGGGAGCGACTTATTCGATCGGTGAGACGAATTCTACGCTCGATGATTGGAGAACGCCTACTGAACGACGAGTCCCTGAGAACTTTCCTAACTGAAGTTGAAAAGATACTGAACGACAGGCCAATAACGAGAGTGTCAAGTGACGCAAGAGACCTCGAAGCACTAACGCCTAATCATATCCTGTTATTACGACGAAATGCAGCTTTACCTCCAGACGAATTAGAGGAGAGCGACAAGTTRAAAGCAAGATGGAAGCACATTCACTTGTTAGCCAATGAGTTTTGGCGAAGATGGGCCAAGGAGTATTTACCCACGTTGCAGGAGAGACAGAAATGGTTAGTCCAGAGACCCAATTTCAAMATTGGAGACCTAGTATTGGTTGCAGACAAAAACACTTCGAGGGGAGAATGGCCTAAAGCACTTATCGAGGAAACATTTCCTGATGCTGATAATGTAGTGCGACGTGTAACAGTGAGGACAGCTAATGGAGTGTACCAGAGAGATGTACGCAAGATTTGTCTCCTAGAAGAAGAGCTACTCAAACAGTTTGAGAACAGCGTTGCGAAAGCTGATAAAGTTTGAATACAGATGACTGGATTACAGGAACACAAGTGACATTGTGAACTTTTTTGTGAACTGTTTATTGTAAATCGTTATATAGGTTAGTATAAAGACTTCAGACAGTCTTTCGAGGGGGTGTGTGTAAGCCTCGTGCATAGTTGACTCCTATACTAATGCAAATACCGCTGTACAAAAATTATGTACTCATAACCACATGCAGCTAGAGGGAAAAGAGTGAAAAGTTTGTAAGTCTATTTGTTTGTTATTTCTTTAGCTATAACTTTAGCTTTCTTGCTTATTTTGCTTATTATCATTTCTTAGCGAATCGTTTATGAACAAGTTGATAATTAAACCTACGAAACGAATGCGAACCGTGATCATAACTGACCCGTCTACTGCACAAATCTTGCTTTGAAAAACACAAAGATTAGATTCAAAAGAATGACGTTCGGCGGCCATGTTGGTTGACACGAACAATAGTCAAGTAACAATGCGCTAAAGAACTAGGGAACTCTCTATTGTTCTGCGGCATAGCAAGATCCCCATGTATGAATGTCTTGGTTTTCACACTGATTATGTATTAACCTGTGGGTAACACATTTTTGAAATAAAATGTGGATAAACTCTATTTTGAAACAAAGTTTCTTTTGTATTAAAAGCTCTTATCCAATCATAAGCACTCAAAACAATAGCCAAAAGATGCTTCTAATTTGCAATGTTCCCCACATAGAATTGCCTTAATATTGAAGCTAAAGAATGCTTCCATGAAAGCGAAAACAGACATTAAATAAAATATTAGAAAATTCCCTAACTTGTGAAATTATAGCAGATTTTCATGTTTTAACCAATGGGATGGATGGATTATACAATGCYCAATTAGCACCTTCTTGCATTCCTATGCCGTTTGCTTCCCTAGTTCCTTACTCGGGGCATTACTTAAAATGAAAGATATTTTGTTGACTGAGTAGACTGAGTGAGTTTGAAAACAATGCAGTTTATGACTCCAACAATAGTACAGCTAACTAGCGTTTTCTTGTTATTGATTTTTAGCACTCGCAACGTGGTTGAGAATTTCTCCAAGCATCACCTTCCTCATATTGGCACCGTTTTCCCTGATATATCTAGCGTGTTACTACTTCATACAGAAAGATATCATCAAAGATGAACACAAACCGCTGACTAAAAACGACGCGGTTTACACCACGTTGCAGACTACAGACAACGAAGACGAAGATGGTTTAGAACAGAAAAAATCCAACTCGAGGTTTGTCAGGAATAACATCCTCTCTTTTCAAGACAAACTTTCYGCAGTCAAGAAAATGGTCCTTTTGTTGGGAATTCCTTTATACATAACCTTCTCGGCAGAGTTCACGTTGTWCCAYTCCATCATTACAACCATTGCTTTTCCAAAGTCATCCTTRCCACCACGTGATCATTACCAGTACTACTCCATCGCGCTTATGGTAGGAGAGGTACTGGGGCGATCCAATCGGAGCATCCTGGAAATTGTGAAACCTGATTGGCTCTTCACTCCCAACGCTCTTCTYGTTTGGTTTCTGTCCGCCACTGAAGTCTTAGTTCTGATGTTCTTGTTCCTCGAGTCTTGGTATCGATTTCTRCCTGGAGTTTTAACMGTGATATTTCTCTGTTTCTGTTCTGGGTTTGTTGGTGGRTTYTCCTTCACAACTGGCATTGAACTCGCTCGCGTTTCATTTAAACAAAACGAGCGTGAATTCATAATGTCTGCGTCTGCCATCCCCCTGAACTTTGGGATTCTCTCAGGCGCCTTTATTGGCTTGTATGTGGAGCCTCTGTTGAGAAGGCACTGCATATCAACTTTGACTGACACAGCATATTGTTATACCAGACCTACTAAATCTTCTTAGTTTGTTGTATTTAGTGTACCAATAAAGYTTCCTAATTCATAGTACAATAATAAATTCAATATAAATAGTCGATAAAACGTGGAGACAAATTGTGCGGCTGCATGGACTTTTTGACTCCCCGTAGTCCACGACACCGAATGAAGAAACCAACCAATGAAATGGAAGCTTAAGGAACATGGTATAGGCTACCTGCATATATAGCCTATGACCAAAATGCCCCCCTCCCCCCCAAAAAAAAAGCAACCGATTTTTGATGTACATGCATGGGCTATAGCCCACCAAAATGACCGAAACTGAATTGTTAATTTAATATAAATGATTGACTATAGCCCACCAAAATTAACAATAATCATGGATTTTAGATACAAATGCAGGTGCTACAGACCACGAAAATGTCCGAAAAATGCCGATTTTTGATGAGCTATGAATTCTTGGCGTGTAAGTTACGTCATCACCGCCATGTTGGATGAAAATCACAAAGCATTTCTCATTATTTTCTCTTGTTCATTCATTCAACGTGGCGGCGATAGCTTTGTTTTATTTCACAGGGAATTCCTGGTCATGTGGTTGCACACGAAGAATACGAAAAATAGCGAAATAGCGTTGAGCTCGTTCGAGTGTCGTTTGCAGAAACACTGGAAAAAATCGCGCATTCTAAAGGTTTTAAATTTGATGRGAGTGTCCAAAATGATGTAAATTTGGTGTAAATGATAAATTTACATCATTTTGGACACTTACATCATATTTACATCGAATTTACAAATGTGCGATTTTTTCCAGTGAAAATTCCAGTGKAAATTCATAATGTCAGTGTCTACCATGCAAGTAAACTTCACGATACTCGCAGCCTCTTTTACTGGTTTTTACGTGGAGCATCTCTTAATTAAGAGGACAATGCATATTAACTTTGACTGGTTCGGCTTATTGTTTCATAAAGACACTAATATGTTGTAATGTATTAAAACGCGCCGATAAAATCAATCAAATGKAAGAAACAATTACTAAATAATGATTTAAGTTTATGAAGAATTCAAGCGATTTTTTATCAAGTGCTTTTTAGAGTGCAAACATTAAATGTGTGCAACACTTTCCACTATTTCCTACAAAATAGTGTTAATTAAACAATAGAAAACAATAAATTTAGCATATTTTAGCAGTATTCAATTAGTGGTATTTATGTTGCACAGTTTTAGTGTTTGTACTCTAGTTATTTATCGTGTTTTTAACACTAACATGTCCGTCTTTTATGTTCACTATCAATTAAATATATCTTCAATAATAAACTATTCTTTCTATATCTACAAGCTTACACGATAAAATTTGTTATTACAATTAACAAATTAAAGCCGTAAAAGCAATCAGATAGGCGAGGATTACAAAATGTCGTGGAAMGGGGCTTACTGTTGTACAGCACCTCAAAATTTACGAAATGTTGTCTTGAATATTTTTGTACGGCTGTACAGAGGAGTACAAAATATCTTGTGGAAAGGATTTAGTGGTGTACAGAATTTTAACATTTACGAAAGGCACACTAAGTCAAACTTAAGACACAACGAACAGATATGTAAATCCGGAAATTCGTGGACGAGCAAATCTGTAAAGAAAAGTGACTGCATTTTATGATACTAGAGAGTTTTAGTTTCGCGTTTACGGCGAACGCCAAACGTCAAAACTGATCGTTTTTCTCTATTAACGCCCCGTTCTTTCGCGATTGTGGATAAAAAGATCATTTTTCGTGCATAAGCGCACCGCTATTCCTTTCGTAGCATTTTATTTTTACGTTTGTTCGAAATTTCGAGACAAAGCATAAAAACCAATTTGACGTTTGGCGTTTGCAGTAAACGTGAATCTAAATCTCTCTTCTGGCTACGTATAAATGACGTCTAAGGCTCACGGAATTAAAGCCTTCAATCTACCATATAGTTATTCTACACTATCCTGCAAAATAGTTTTTCACAGATCTTTCTCCTGTTGGTCAGCGATCAGGTCGAATTGTTTGATGATTGTTACGTCAAAACTGAGATCCAGACAAGAGTTRTTGAGATCGGAAAGCCTGACGTCATAGAGTGCCATCTGTAACGATCGTATGAGRCCCATTGGCTGGTTAGCTGGACCTATCGACCATTTCTGAGASGTGATAAAATAGGAATGATTGAAAAAATGTGCTTGACTCACGCGTCCACACTGYTTTGTTTTCGTAACGTTTTTTTATCGTTTTCCTTTCACAAACAAAAGGGAAACCGTACAAAAAATGCWACAAAAACGTGTCAGATTGGACGAGGGTTTAACGTTTCTGTAGCGTTTTTATATTGTTRTCCGCAGGAAACAATGCAAAAATAAACTTACGAAAWRGCATCGGTGTTACGAGATCTAACGTAGTAACGTTTAACGTAACTTAACGTAACGTTTCAGTAGCGTTTTTGCATGGTTCAAGAAAAAATCTCAAGAAAAAGAAAATACCAAAAAAAAAAAAAACAATTCTATTTGGGAGAAGCTAAATAAATATAGAAACAAACAGTTGCACGCGACAAATCGCATCGTGTAAATCGCCCTTAATTAGCGTCTTACCGTAAGCCCATTTCGTATTGATAATTTCAACACGAGTTCCTTGGTCTCGCCAGCTTTCATCCGATTCGCTTGCATCATAAGAGCTTCTGTACTAGCTTGCTTAATTCGCTGTTCCAACAAACGAGCTAAAATCAYWACGTCCCCCAGCCTAGCATCTGCCATTTTCTTCAGCTCAGACGGTTGACCTGAATGTCTAACYTCGATAGTTGCCGTTCCAGGATACTCCTTCTGGGATTCCTGTGTTGTAGATTTGTCCCYAGACTCCTTGGTCGTTTCCTGTAAACAAGGTTCCTCGAGCCAGCGTAGCTCAAAGTACAGCATTTCGAACTGGTCACCAAGGTAAAAATGGCAATTGCTACGATCGTGTAGACATTGCCTTAACCTTTGAGTGTGAATGTCCGTAAGACGAACAATAGCGCCATCTGCAATTCAAAATTCAGAGGTTGGCAAATGTTTAACTTAAAAAAGCGTTTTATCAACAATTGTGATTATTGATTTGAAGAGATATCAAAGATTTTTTTAAACATGACTAACCGTCCACAAGCTTCCCTCTTTGTTCTAGCACTGGGGATTCGTTATCGCCYAGAAGAAGGAGAAGAAAACCAAGACCAGTTACTGTAATAAATCAATCAATCAATAGTTCAATCTAGTCTCCTCCGCAGAAACTACTTTTGCCCTTTTGGGAGCTAGAAACCACTGTTTTGTCCTCCAGTTTGAACTGCACTCCCATCAAGTGCAATGGGTATATAGCCTATGGTACGTTAGGTTAGTACATAAGATCCTGCGTCTACAGCCCTATTGCGCATGACCGATAAACCTAACTKAAAAGMGCTATGAATGGGAGACTTCCTTTTTAATTGTTCGCTACTTCCTTCCTCTTCCGCGCTCTTTCTCCTCCCTGTTTTCTTACAGATTTTCTGTAGTTAAGAAGGGTAGAAAGTACTTTCTGTCGTATCTAACCTACAATCGTTGACAAAATCCTTGTACCATTCCAGAGAATTTCCTCATTTTAAGCAACACCCGCAGACAATTTCATCCCTCCTGACCACCTAAATGCAATGTTGTCATTGAGCATGTTACCATAGCACTCAACCATCCAAAACAAGACCCAACATTGATGAAAGGGGGCTAAGGGGGAGAAATGTGAAATAATAAAGGAGGAAAAAGGTCAAACTGGAGACGAATAATTCTATGGTCCAATGTTTTTTGCCAACGATTGTACCTAACATATTCTTTCCGACTTATTCTACTTACCTGACCGCACGCCATGATGGGTCGGGTTCATGGGGTTACGAAACAATGACATATGTTTACGTAGCGATATCTCGTCGGTGTGAATAGACTGGTGATAKACCCTGTATTGGTCGACATTGGTWGTAAGYTCGGATACCAGGGGGATGGTCGCTGTTTGATTMGTTTTCACTATCAGACGATCAAAGAAATTCAGGACCTAAACGGGAAAAATAATCATAGTCAACTCTCGTTGCGACGGACATTGTCGGAGCTCTGCGTAGTGACG